CATAGATTTTGCTGAAAAGTCATTTTCATATGGAAATATATATGATAGTTCCCGAGTTACATTTCATGCAACTATAAAAATGGTTTTTCAGTTTAGTCTTCCAATCTCGATTCAAACTATTATTTCTCAACATGCTACTAATGATAATGTAATGCAGCAGCCTTTATTTGGCAAATTATTATTTACTAGTAATTTATTAAACCTTTATGAAAAGATTTTTGTTCAACTTTTAGAAACAAAACTAAATAATTGGGATGTTGAAGATGTACTTAGTGAAATTAAAAAAATATACCACTTGAATATCAAATTCCACCTCCGAATGTTGTTATATTAAGGCCTGGAGAAAATCCCAATTGCGATACAAACGTACATCAAGCTTGTGCAATGTATTTTGATGATGTTGGATTAGAAAATACAAATCATATTGATGTTGCTTGTGATGAAGCTTTATTTAAGCGGTTAATATCTTACAAAGATAACAATCCACAGGTTAGATTATTATTAGAGCAATGGCACACATTGAAAGATATGTGTAGTGCACTGATTACACTTTTTTCGGGTTATGGTATTTTTGGTTTAGCTGCTTGATTAGGTGTGCTATATCTTGATAAGTTAGAAAAAGTGGTCGATTATTCAGCAACTTGTTGGGTGTTAGAACTAATTTGGGTTGCGGTTGGATGCGCACTTGTTTAATATGCTTGTAAACAAGAAAAATCATTGCAAGAAATTAGACATGGAACAAATAAAATTGCAAAAGTATGGTATTGTTATTTTTGTTGGGGAGCCTATTGGTTAAGTTATAGAGTTGGAATTAGAAAAGGCAATTTCAATATGCAATTTAGAAACTTTGCTGCTTTTTCACCACTTTTTCCTGCTACAAGAAAACACAATTATGCTAGATTTGTTTCTTTTTTTTTATCTTATGTTGAAAGGGATATTGGTTTTTAAAAACTTCTTAAACATGTATGTTTGGTTAATATTACACGTGAAGATCATTTTTTTGGGTTCAATGAGGCATTAGAAAGATTTGGTGTTCAATTTATTAAGCAAAATGTTAGCAGAAAATGATTAACGAATGAAGAGTTAAAGTTACAAATGTCTTCTATACAGGCAGAAAGGGAGCGACTAGAATTGCTAATTTCTGAATATATTAGTGATAAGCTTTATATTAAAGAAGAAAGAACAATAAAGTCCTGAAAAGAATCTCTTTGAAAACTTATCTCTGATTTATCAGATACATTTTCTCAACCTGATTTATCACATGAACTTTTTCTTAATGCTCCAGAACTTCATGAAGCAGGCTTTCAACGTCTATTTTCATGCTATGATGAAGGTATTGGTCATCTCTATAAAATTTTGAAACAGGATGTTTATAAAACTGAAACCTGAAATGTAAAAGGACGCCAAGCATGCAATGTTGTAACTTACAAATGGCAAAACTTATTAGAAATGGATAAGTCTAAAATTAAAAAAATTAAAAAGCAAATACCTAAAACTGGTATTGTTCGTACAAAAAAACTATGTCAAAAACATCAAACTACTGAAGAAAAAAAAAACATACTTGATCTTATTCTTTCTGAAAAGATTTTTCCTAATGATAAACTTCCTGATCTTCTTTTACAACTTAATACTGTATCTACTGGATGGACAGAATCTCGCATAAAAATTTTTTGGAGAAATAATAGAATTAATAAATAAGGTAGTATATATTTTCTGCTACTTTTGTTTATGTCGAATACACTTTAAATACAGTACTATTTGAATTATAAAGATACAATTATTGAGCTCGAACATTAAATTTATAGAAATTCAATAAGATAAATAGATGAGAATGATTAAATGTATAGTTATTATATTTTGCTAGTTCTTAAAGTATGAAATAAATAAAAGATAATTTTAAAAGAATCGTGTAGCGATATCGCTTTCTTTGATTTATGTGTATTATTTAGAGCAAAAAGACTAACTTCATTTACTTTGCTATTTTATATTACAGTATATTCTATTGAATCATTTACGTCATTTTTTAATTAACTCCTTTATACAATCTTATACACTTTCTCTCATCACAATTACGATTCGTTCTCCTTACAATCATCCTTGATACAAGTATTTACATCACGTAGAATGTTTGCATCATATTTTTGTTTGTTAGTACTACCCTTTTCACTAACAAACAGACTACTTATTTGATTTTGTTTAATAACCGCCAGAACTCAATACAAAGCTGATCTAGAACTACATGACACTAATGCTATGGTTGTAATTGTATTCACATAATCTTGCAGACACATGGTTCTGTGAGATCATATGACATTGGGGTATTCGGTCAATTATGTTCGACAAAACAGTATCTGGTACCATATAAAAGTTAATATTAAAGTTTTTTCGAATTTAATGATCAGGATGATAATCAGAATAGTGAGCAGGATTATTTATCACTGTATATATAGTAAAGAATAACTTGTATGCTTTTGAATGTCTAGAGCTAATCGCATTACTTTTTTAACATCAATCGATTCTTAACACGCTTATAACAAAGTTGCGTAAAAATTGTGAGTTTTTACCCACAATAAAAATACCTCGCTTAGAATAGTTCACAATATGAATCAGAATTTTGTAATGAGTTATCTTGAAATTTAAATATTAATGTTAAAAAAATTTCGATATAACTTTGTTATAAACGTGTTTAAGAATCGATTTATGCTAAAAAAATTGAGAAAAGTAAAGCAATTCGCTCTAGAAATATAAAAATATACAAGTCATTTTTTACTATTAAAATTCGAAAAAATCCTTAATACTGTAACTTATTTTTATAGTACCGCATATTTACATAGTTGACGAACACCCAATGTAATATTAACTTTCTTGAGAATATTATAACGATAAAGGAATTTTAGATGATGGTGGATGACCTTAATATTAACATTTGGGCTGCTGTTAATAGAAATCAGGCAGATTGACATTTAAAAAAAAAAATTAATACCTTAACTTTCAAAGCTCATATCTTGGCAAATTTCAAAGCTATCTTAATAATTTAATAGTAAAAAAAAGCCTGATCTTAAGCTTTTTTTTAAACTATTAAATTATTAAGATAACTTCGAAATTCATTATGATATTAGCTTTAAAATTAAGATATTAATTTTTTTTAAAGCGTTAATCTGCTTTGCCTGACCAGGCCCATTTGTAAATCAGTCACATCAGCCAATCAAATTTCGAGTTTGATTTCGTCGATAGTCTCAAAACACTATTTTCAAAACAAGATACTTCAAAGGTTTTTGTCATAAGAGGAAAAAAATATAGATAGTTTAAAAATATGAAACAACAAAAAGGTTTTGTTATAATGAAAAATATCAGCTATATTGTAAGATACAAGTGTTAGCTTATAAGTGAAAACTGTCATTTTTTACAAAACATATAGATCGCCATATAATTTTATATGTACTGCAACTTGCAGATCTCTTAATTAAATCATTACCCTAAAAATTTTCTGATATTACACCCGACCGTAATACGTAATATATGTTTTAACTGAGATAATCAAAATTACCCAAATTATTATGCGTCATTTAATAAATTCTTATGTCTGATGGAATACGTCGGGGAGTGGGAAGATGGGTTAGCATGTGGGTTGAACGCATGTTATCAGCACAGATCAGGGGTTCAAATTTTTTTTCGGGGTTTAGCATTGATTGATTAATATATAATTTGGTAACTAAAATTTAATTTGGGGGACTAAATACTTGGATTTGGTGACAAATTGTCTGCTTAATTTTGCAAATACGCCACTGTAATGAATAGACAAGGCTACTATTTTATTAATTTTTTCCAGTGTTGACTGACCGATATTTCTAATAATATATTTTATGATTTCAATAATTTTGAATAGATTAAATTTTGGTTGTTTTTTTGTCGTAATCATAAAAAAAAACATTTTAAAGATTTAACTTTTTTTTATTTGAATTTTAATAAGTTCATTTTTACTATAGATAGTTTTAGAGTGCAATTTTTATTAAAAGTAGATATTCAGAAAACATGATTTATAGGTTTTTCCTTTCCATCACTCATATATCCTAAGTTGACCTTGTTATGAAAGCAATCAAATGTTCTATCAGTAATTTTTTTACAATATTATTTATTATTGATTTTAATAAGAAAAAATTATATTCATGCATTGTTAAAAAATTACTTTGTTTCGAATTTATCCAAAAAATCATCTACTTTCCATACTCCTTGACTAAACGCTGCAGAATAAAATTCTTTTTTTTCTTCATCTATATTATCAATTATATGTATAAAATTAGAATCTCGGCAAGACGTTTCATCACGAAAGAACTTTTGTAGTATTAGATTGTCTTTTGATACTTTGCCAACTGGTTCTATTGTAGGATTTTCAGCTATCTATATCAGATAAGTGCATAAGAACTCAACTAGAAATGCACTGGAACATTCCCAATCAATAATTCCTGTAATTTCATCATTATTGACTAGAATGTTTGATGAATGAAAATCTCCATGTGTTAATACAAATGTGTCGTTTCCATTCTGAAAATATTTTGATACCAATTTGCATAGTTTTTCATATTTCCGAATCCAACTATCTTTAGATTTAAAAGCTCTATAGTAACAAATCTGGTTTTGAATAACGGCTAAAATATATTCTTTTGTAGTGTGAAAGGTTCCAGTTCCATGGTGGGTAAAGTTGCTCGCTCTCCAGTAAAAAAGTTGCTTTCAATCACCTGACCAATTTTAAAACCATTTTTGTTAAAAAAAATGCAACCAATTTTTGAAAATGTGAGTTTTTTAAGTTCTAATTGAATTTTAATAATTTTTAAAAAAAACAGCTTTTTTTTTCATAGTGAGGCCACTCCAGATGTCACAAAGACGAATTCCAGGCAAATATTCCATTAAAATATATTCTGCCCCTACTGGATTATTGACATAACTATTCCAATAATAAACTTTAGAAACAGAAATGTTAATATATAAACGAATATACTCCATAAATGCTACTTCACTTTCTGTTTTCCATTGTGGATATACTGGGAATGCTACTCTTCCAATATATTCTTTACCATCTTCCATCTTTAAGATGTATACTTTATGAAAACCACCTTCGTTAAATTCTTGTATAGAAGTGCATTGTACTTGAAATATATTTGATGCTGACTTCTTTAAAGCATCTAAATTAACATTTAGCACAATAGAATTTTCTAAATCGCTTTCACAGCTAGAAGAATTATTTGACATCTTCCAGTTTTAAGTTATTTACAATTTGT